TTTTCCTTGGTAATTTCTTGAAAGATGATGTCTAGGCTCTTGTTTTGATCATGCTTTCAGATAGTCCAATAATTTTTAAGTTCTCTCTCCTGGATCTATATTCCAGGTCAGTTGTTTTTCCAATGGAATATTTCACATTCTTTTCTATTTTTTCATTTCTTTGGATTAGTGTTACAGGGCCTTGATTTCTCAAATTGTCATTAGCTTCCAATTTCTCCATTCTAATTTTTAAGGAAGTATTTTCTTCAGTAAGCTTTTGGACTTCCTTTTCCATTTGGCCAGTTTTGCCTTTTAGGGCATTCTTCTCCTCATTGGCTTTTTGGACCTCTTTTGCCATTTGGGTTAGGCTATTTTTTAAGGTGTTATTTTCTTCAGCATTTTTTGGGGTCTCCTTTAGCATTACTCTCAGTTTTTCCTCTACTTCTCTTACTTGCTTCTCAAAATCCTTTTTGAGCTCTTCCATGGCCTGGGACCAATTCATATTTTTCTTGGAGGCTTTGGATGTAGGAGCTTTGGCTTCGTTGTCTTCTTCTGGTTGTATGTTTTGATCTTGTCATCAAAGTAAGATAATATAGTCTGATTCTTTTTGCTCTGCTTGCTCATGATCTCAGCCAATTACTTGAGTTATAAACTCTTTGTTAAGGTAGGAGTCTGTTTCCAGTGTGGACAATGTACTGTCCTAAGCTTCAGGGGTTTTGTGTAGTTGTTTTCAGAGATGCTTCTAGGGACCTGTAAATTTTCAGTTTTTCCAAGGTGCTATGATCAAGGGCAAGGTGTTTACTTCTTTCCTGGCCTGTGCTCTGATTTATAAGCATTCTTTTCTGTCTTGGAACTGTGAGGAGGGTTTCCTCTCCACAGCCAATACAAGCTCTACCATGCCAGTGCTCCTCCTCACCCCAGGACTGCCACCCAGAACTGTGACCCCGATCTAAGCATCGGCAAAGCAAGAGAATCCTGCACCAGCAGAGGGATTCCTGCCATCCCCCTCTGATCAGCCACTCAATTCCTCCTCAGTCTGTGGGCCAGAAGCTTAGGAGGCAGCCTCCCCCCCAGGGCTGGAACCCCACTGTCCTCAGCACCGTAGAAACAGACTTTTCTTACTGACCTTCTAAGTTGTCTTTGGCATTTGTGGGTTGAGAAGTCTGGAAACTGCCACAGCTGCCCGTGATTCAGTCCTCTGAGGCCTCCTCCAGGTTTGCTGTGGTCTGTGCACCCATGCTGAACTGGGCTCCTCTCCCCGCCCATTGTGATATACCTTTCTGATCAACCATCCAGGCTGTTTTTGGCTGGAAATTTGTTTCACTCTGTCTTTTTGTGGGTTCTGCTGCCTTAGAATTTGTTTAGAACCATATTTTATAGGTATTTGGAGGGGTTTGGGGGAGAGCTCAAGCAAGTCACTCCTTTTACTCCACCATCTTGGCTCCACCCCCCCCCCAGTTATCACTTTTTTTAGATGATATTAATGTGTACTTAAAGATCCTAGAATATCAATTAAAATTATTTGACATAATGAACAACTTCTGCAAAGTCATAAGAAAAAAGGTAAATCTACATAAATCACAAATATTCCTATGTCCAACCAGCAAAATTCAGCAGCAAGAACTAGAAAGAGAAATTCAAATAAAAAAAACTGGAGGCAAAGGCAGCTAGATGGCTCAGTGGATAGAGCACCAGCCCTAAAGTCAGGAGGACCTGAGTTCAAATCCAGCCTCAGACACTTGACGACTACTATCTATGTGACTCTGGGCAAGTCACTTAACCCTGGGTGCTTTCCCCCCTGCCCCCCCAAATATATACATATATGTATATATGTATATTTATATGTATAAAACAGGAGGCTAAAAATGTTTTGGAATGTGTCTACCAAGATTTACCCAGGGACTTTATGAATCTAGCCATGCAGAAATATATACCTAAATAATTGGAGAAAGATTAATTGCTCATGGATAAGTTGAACTAATATAATAAAATGGCAATAGTAACCAAATTTATTCAGTACTGTATGAATCCAACTCCCAATAGAATATTTTATAGTCCTAGAAAAATATATTAAAATTCATATGAATCAACGAAAGCTTAAGAATATATTTTTTTAGGTAAGAAAGAAGGTGGTTTATCATTATGAGTTCAAACTACTGCAGAGGAAAAAAATAGGAAAGAAGATAGAGAGAGGAGAGAGAGAGGCAGAGATGAGTGGAACAGATTAGATATACAACAAATAGAAGAAAATAAATAGAGCAGCACAGTGTTTGATAAAGTCAAAGATCCCATTTATGGAGGAAGGACTAATTATATGACAAAAAACTGCTGAAAATGGGACAGCAACGTGGCAGAAATTAGGTTTGGATGAATGCCTCACATTATGCATGAATTCAAAATCCAAATGAATATATGTTCTAGATATAAAAGGATACATCATTTACAAATTAGAGGAAAATGGGAGAAATTTAACATTCAGTTTTATGAATAAAGGAAGAGGGAATTGAGGGAATTACATACATATTCAATTGGGTATGGAAATCTATCTTACCCCACAAGAGAGTGGGGGGGAGGGGATAAGAGAGGAGGAGTGATAGGATAGGGCAGATTGGTGGAGGGGGTAATCAGAAGCAAACACTTTTGAAGAGGGACAGGGTGAAAGGAGAGAATAGAATTAAATGGGGGAGGAATAGGATGGAGGGAAATATAGTTAGTCTTTCACAACATGATTATTATGGAAGTGTTTTGCATGACTACATATGTATAACCTATATATATGTGTGTACATATGTGTATGTATATATGTATGTGTACACATGTGTATGTACATCAGTATATGTACATATATGTATGTATGTATATGTACATATATATAATTAATTGCTTGCCTTCTCAATGAGGGTGGGTGGGGAGGGAGGAAGGAAGAGAATTTGTAACTCAAAGTTTAAAAAAAAAGGTTAAAAATTGTTTCTACATGTAACTGGGAAATAAGGTGCATAGGCAATGGGATATAGAAATCTATCTTACCCTACAGGAAAATAGAAGGGGAAGGGGATAAGAGAAGTGGGGGGTGATAGAAGGGAGGGTAGATTGGGGGAAGGAGTAATCAGAATGCATGCCATCTTGGGGTGGGGGGGAAGGGAAAAGATGGGGAGAAAATTTAGAACTCAAAATCTTATGGAATGAATGTTTTATCAGAAGGTGGCCAATGCACATGCTACAGCTTCTTGGAGCCACAGGTGAGAGTTATGTGACAGGTGGACAGCAAAGGGGCATAAGCAGCCCTGAAATGGGTTCAGCAAGCCCTCACAACAGGGTTGCTAGTCCTCCAGGAACACCCCAAAGTACTATTCTAATGACTCCTTTTAGAATGGAAGTAACCTTGGATTTCCTAATCAGACAACAATCAAATCTTAAGCACTTGCTATGAGCTAGATACTGTGCTATGCACTGTGAATATAAATATAAACAAAACCCTGCCCTCAGGAAGCTTATATTCTAGAGGGAAAGATAACACAAAAAGAAACTAAGAAAGGTTGGCTAGGAAAGGACTTGATGGGAAAGTCTAAGGAGTGCAGCCTGGTAGAAAATGATAAGATAGCTGGTAGCCTGGGCACATTCCTTAAATGGAAGTTCTAGGATGGTCCAATCAAAGGGAAGACAATGAGACAGAGAATAATCAATAAACATTTATTAAGTGCCTACTATGTGCCAGGCACTGTACTAACTGCTGGGGATACAAATAAGAAAAAAAGAAAAGATGGTCCCTTTTCTTGAGAAGCCTATAATTTATTGAGGGAAGAAAAAATGCAAAAGGAAGCTGAAAAATTTGGGTGAGTGACCACCAGATGGTGCTAGGCACAGGGACATGATATTCATGGAGTTGAAACAAACAGAGCCCTTGATGTGAAATGAAGTTGGTACTTCCAATTTCCCAAGTGTGAATTCCAGGGTTGAAGTAATCTTTCAGGAAGAAGAGGTTTCTTGGGCAAGCTAGTGAACCTTTCTGAGGTTATACCGCTTAAATGCAAACTCTGGCATGGCATATCACATTTGGCTTGCTCAGAGGTGGGTTGAATATTTCTCATTTGAGCACCAGTACTAGATATTTTCTGAGATTCTTATACCCAGAAGGTTGGCCAGCAGTTTAGTAATGGTTTGGCCATGACAGTTCTTGTAGCAATTCATTAAAGTGTGCAGATGAAGCTTGCATTATTGGAGAGAGTATCCACACTCATGGAATCATAGTTTTAAAACGTTAAATGAGAATTTCATATATTACTATCTCCTGAATGACTTTCTCAGTGATTTAGCATCTAGACAATAACCTTCCATGCTTGATTACTATATGTTTAAATAACAGAAACATAAATTTCATACAAGTAACAATTCTCTAGTGAAAAGCTTTACCCCTCTCAAGGAAAATCTTCATTTACTCTTTCTTTTGGCTCTACAAATCCATTTATTCCCTTCTCAAGTGTAAAGCTCAATTTCCTAAATCATGTTTCTTCCTGTTTTTCTTGCTTACAATACATGTGCTTCAAATTTCAATTCAGCTTTTTCTTCTTTTCTGTTTCAGATAGAATGTAAGCCCTTGGGGGCAGGAACAATTTCATTTTTGTCTCTGTAACCCAAACACCCACCACAATGACTGATGTATAGTCGATCTTCACAGGCTTGTCAATGATTGATTAATTTAGGCTTGAGAATTTTAATTTTTTAACCTCTCTTCAAATAACTTAAGATTATTGTAAAGAATCAACTTTCAAAAGCCGTCTGAGCAACAGTCATCCAAGTAACAACTACATGGACAAAAGCAGAACTTTGACTGTCTTGATCAATGCCTCAAAACGCTATCCTCAATCTTCTGTTTCTTTCTAATTCTGTATAGATTCCTGCTCTCAGAAGGAAAAAATGTTTTTACCTTTTCCTCATGTTAGGGCAGGAGAATGTTATAGGGACTGGAAAAAAAGGAAAATTCTCTGTAATAAGGAACCTTTGTTACCTTTATATTTTCACAGACTCAGCAGATGGCAATTAAGTGAAGAAGCCCAAAGAATGCTGGATGACATAAGAGAGAGCCATCCTCATCTGACAATTGAATCTTCCAACTGATTCAATTCAGTAAGTGTTCAAAGAATAATTGATGTGGACTAAGACCCATGCTAGTTGCTACAGCAACATTTGGAGAGAAATCACTTTGCAGTAGTCTAAATTTTGAATACATCCTATCAATTCAAATATGGATTTACAAGATTTCAGATTTTTTAAAATGCATGTTAAAGAAGCACAGGGAAACTTGGATGAGCCAGGAAAACAATATATACTATGACTACAATGATGTAAATTGAATAAACAACAACAGAGATATTAAAACTGAATGATATGTAATTAGAATAACAAAATTTGGTCCCAATATATCACAGTGAAGATATATCACAATGACCTTCCTTTCTTTGTTGGCAAAGGTGAGGGACTTAGGGTATAAAATACTTCCTATACTGTTATATTTGTTAGTTTTGTGGATCTTTTTTTTTTCTTTTTTATTCTTAGTAACACAAGGTGGTTCTTTGGATGGAGGAGGATATGTCAGGAAATTAAAGTTCTCTCTAAATATATACATATATACACACATATGTACTTACATGCATGTATATATATATGAACATACATATGCATTTAAAAACAATACACATAAAAAGAAAAAAAAATCCTAAGATGATAAACATACAAAAGTATACTAAAGAAACTAATAGAGTATTATAGGGAAGAGTTCTAGTGAATTAGTGCTAATAGCCAGTGCATCAGAAAGTAGAGAGAAGGATATGAAAGCCAAAAAAAAAATTGTATTGTTTATGAAATAAATGCTCATCACATGGTCATTCCTACCTTCACATACGTTTTATTTTAATTCACTCTTTGATCAGAAAAGGAGATTGATGGTTGGAGCTAGGAGTCCTCAGCTTTAGACTACAAAAAGAAACTCCAGCAGCTTCACAAACAAAAAGCCTAGTTGTTACAAATCCAAATTCATTTCCATTCAGTTCAATAAATATATATCAAGTGACTCCTATAAGGGTGTGTTCATTTCACATGTTAGCAATTTTACTGTTTGAAAGGAGTGAAGGTGCAGAGTCAAGATGCAAAGTGAGAGGCAGCAGTTTTGCCTTAGATCTACATTCTTTACCACAAAGTCTGACAAAGAGTGACAGACTGAATTCTGATTGGGAAAGCTAAGAAAAACACATAATGAGTCACTTTCTAGCCCAGAGCAACTTAGGAAGATAGATACAAAGGTCTTTGGACTCTGGTGTGGGAGCTGGTCTGGAGCACAGCAAAGCAGTAGTAGCAGAGGAGCAGAAGGCTGTGGGTGCAGCAGAAGTGACAGGGAGCAGCCTAATACACAGGGATAGTAAAGGACCTGAACACCAGGGAGGATAGAGATCCCAGAGGACCCCTGCACCAGCACTGGGAGCAGAAACAGGTGCCATATGGAAGCTCTCTTGCCCAGTACTCACTTTTGAGTCATAGTTCCAGGGTGGAGAGGAATAGATGGGAGAGAATGAAGGCCTATATTTATAAGGAGAAAGAGAAAAAAAAATTCCAGAAACATAACTATCTGACTCTGGGCTCAAGGACAGAGTGGGGATTCAGTTCTAACCTTTAGTCCCACACATAATCCTGCAGTAGAACAAACCAGAGTATGAAATCAAAACCAAGGGTATTCAGCAATTCAGTCACTCTGAAACTGCAGAACTTCTTAATGGGCTAACTGTAACTGAATATAGCAGCAGTCTACAGAAATAATCACATACAAGCAAATAGATCAAACTGGGTCAGGAATTGCAGAGTACATAGCAAGAAGGGAATGAATAGACCTCTCTTCAGATGACACCACTCTGAAGGTACTAAAAACTTACAGGTTTCCAGAATGAGTTGTAAAATCAGCAGAAGGGCATAAAAGACAAACATTCAGGGCAGACATCCCTCCCCACCCTTGCCTTAGGTGAATAGAGCCAAATATTAACATAAAGTCCAAAATTTAAAAAAAAAAAGCTGGTCAAAGAAAAAAAAAGAAACAAAAACAAAACTTGACCACAAAAAGCTAAAATGATGACAGGGAAACTCAAGATACAAACACAAAAGAAGACAATGTCTTGAAAACATCTACAAAGCAGAGCCTCACAGAAAAATTCAGATGTGAAATAAGGCCAACAAAAATTCCTAGAAGAGTTAAAGAAGGAGATAAAAAGAACATTTAAAAAATAAGTGAAAGTAGTAGAGGATAACTTGGGAAAAGAAATGAGAGTTGTATAAGACAATTATAAAAATAGAATTAACACAATGATAAATGAGATATAAAAGATATTGAAGAAAATAACTCCTTAAAAATTAGAATTAGCCAATTGGCAAACAAAGTACAAAACCTCATTGTAAAAATCAGGTAAAAGACAGAAAAAAATAGAAAAATGTGAAATATAGAAAAAATAATTGACAAAATAATTTTAGTAAAGATAATTTGAGAAATGTTAGACTGGGGGCAGCTAGCTGGCACAGTGGATAGAGCACCAGCCCTGGAGTCAGGAGGACCTGAGTTCAAATGCAATCTCAGACTCGACACTTGACACTGGCTGTATGACCCTGGGCAAGTCACTTAGCCCCAATTGCCTCACCAAAAAAAAAAAAAAAAAAAAGGGTTAGACTACCATGAAGTAATAAAGGGGAAAAAAAAGTCCTAGACAACATTTCAAGAAATTACAAAAGAAAATTGCCCAGATATTTTAGAACCAGAAGACAAAGTAGAAATTGAAAGAATTTACTGGTTACCTCCTTAGAGAACTCCCAAAATGAAAACTGCCAGGAATAATATGATCCAAATCCAGAACTCTTAGGTCGAAGAGAAAATGCTACAAGCAGGCAGAAAGAAATCATTCAAATACTGTGGAGACATAGTTAGGATCACACAAGATTTAGCAGTTTACATGTTAAAGGAGTAAAGGGTTTGGAATATGATATTCCAGAAGGCACAGGAGCTAAGATTATAGCCAATACTAACCTAATAAAGAAAAATTGAATACACTCTTTCAGGGGAAAATAGATATTTAATAAAATAGAAGATTTTCTAGCATTTCTGATGAAAAGACCAGATCTGAATTTTTTTTAAAAGGATATTTAAATGCAAGACTTAAGAGAAGCATAAACAGGTAAATACGGATGAAAAATCATAAGGAACTTAATAAAGTCAAGCCATTTACATTCCTATATAGGAAGATAGTACATGTTAACTCCTAAGAACTTTATCATTATTTGGGCAGTTAGAAGGAATCTACATAGACAGAGGTATGGATATGAGTCTATTATGCTGGGATGATCAAAAAAAAAATGGAAAGATGAAAAAAGGAGATACACTGGAAGAAGGAATGAGAAAGAGAAAGAATGGAGAAAATTATCTCATAAAAAAAGGCACACAAAGAAGAATTTTACATTGAAGAGAATAATGGGGGGAGCAGACAACACTTGAATAACTGAATATACCAAATATACTGAAAATAACTGAACTAGTTAAAAAATAGAACCATAGACACAGACACACAGAGTTGGGTATAAAAATTCATCTTACCAAACTAGGAAGCAGGAGGGGAAGGAGCTAAGGGAAAGGAGGGGATTGTAAGAAGGAAGGTACATTAAAGTAGGCAGAGATTAAAAAAAACAACAACCAACAAACAACAGATTTTTAAAGAGAAGATAGGGTTAAAAAGAAGGATAAATAGAAAAGAATAGGATAGAGGAAAATACTCATTTAGCAATCATAACTATGAATATATATGAGATGAAATGACTCATAAAATGGAATAGCCAAATAGATTAGAAACCAAAATCCAACAATGTGTTGTTTACAGGAGACACATTTGAAAGAGAAAGATACACATATAGAGTTAAAATAAGGAACTGTAGTAAAACATATTATGTTTCAGTTGAATTAAGAAAGATAGGGGTAGCAATCATGATCCCAGATAAAGCAAAAGCAAAAATAGACCTAATTAGAAGAGATATTCAGAGAAACAATATTTTGATATGGAAATAAGACATGAGAGAATTGAAGACAATAAGGAAATAAAACTATCACTTTTTGCAGATGATAACATGATGTATTTTAAGAACACAAGAGTGTCAAGTAAAAGAAAAAAAATTAAGAAGACAAATATAAGACTTGTATAAGAAAACTACACAAAAAAAAAGAATCCCCAGAGACAATGAAAGTACAGTAACGTCAACCTCATTGCCTTGTTTCCTAGTTTCTTGTTTGTATACCACCAACAAAGGAATTTTGGAGTTAATAATTGTGGAAATTTGAATCCCTATGCTGTTTGGTGATTATTGGAGAAACACACATTGCCACAGTATGATTTAACTATCAAAAAGGAGGATTTGTTAATGTATTGCTTAATCTACATAATGTATTGCTTAACCTACTGAGTAAGAGGACTCAGTCTTGAATCAGAATGGTAGGTCTGAAATAAAAAGCCCTCAGCACTATGTGGATGAGAGGTAACAATACCTCTCTGTGCTGCCCCTTGCTGCCTGGAAGAGTTGGTTGGTAAAAGAAAGGCAAAACTTCTCTGTACTGTCATCTGCATAGGAGGTGAAAACCCCTGGAGACCAGCCAAAAGAGCAAAAATGAGTCAACTTTGAAAAATCTCAGACTAAGGCTTCCCATACTTTCTGAAAGAGTATAGCACTATTCTCACTAGTCCAGCATATCCCAGCTTATCCAAGGAGCCATCCATCCAAAAGGGGTGCCATGCCCACAGTAAACTTCAAAAGGATAGTCTTTAATAAAGATAAGAGACATAAAAGCCTGCATTTCCAGAATTGTGAGTTACCTGGCCATATGCATTCTCTATACGTGTTCCACAATAGCCTGATGCTTAATTTTGAATCCACTCTCCTCCAAAAGCATTGTACACATTGGTGGGAAAGTGTGCCCTTGGTTTACAGGCAAAAATTTTATGCAATTATTGTTTTTGCTTTGAATTTTGAGTAGATGCTTTAGTTAGGAGTTAGTTGAGTCAGCTGGCAAATTTGTTAATGGGAAGCACACCAATGATTTTCAAAAAACTGTTATAGTAGGAGTGGGCATTCACATGAAGAGTAGTTTTAGCATTTGCATGTCTGGAAGAAAAAAAAAGGCAACTAGGTGGAACAGTGGATAGAG